CTGAACGTTTTTCTTGGTCACACCCATAGAGTCGTGACTGAACGTGTTTGGTGGACGCACCCAGTTAGAGTCGTGACTAAACGTTTTTCGTGGTCACACCCTTTAGAGTCGTGACTAAACGTTTTTCGTGGTCACACCCTTTAGCGTCGTGACAGAACGTTTTTCGTGGTCACAAACTTTAGAGTCGTGACTGAACGTTTTTCTTGGTCACATCCTTTAGAATCGTGACTGAACGTTTTCCATGGTCACACAAGTTAGAATCGTGACGTGACGAACTCTATTATTAAACGTCGTGCTGTACAACGTGACAATCAAGTCCTTTACTCTGTGTGAATGTAAACGTGTAACACTTATTCAGCAGATATTTGTATCGCTGACTAAATAAAATCGTTTTGCTTAGAGCCCGCAATGCGGGCTTCAGAGACTAGTTATATCAGAACCAAGAATTGTGCAGTGGTGTGTGTTACCAGTTGAACTTGGCGCTTGATTACACACGTGTCTCACATTGTCCAAGCTAACGTCACCTAGCGGCAGTTTGGGCACTATGTTGCATTTTTCGTTTCTAGAGGGCGTTTTTCGCTAAAGTGTCAAAACGTTTAAAACGTTGACGAACACGATAACAACGAAACACACCCTTTAGATCTGCCGAGACTTGATCAAATGAACGGGAACACCCCCTAAACTTGACACTTTACCTGTGACCTGGGCACACCCACTAGACTTAACATTTGACCTGTTACCTGGGCACACCCACGCTACTTGAACTGTGACCTGGGCACACCAACTACACTTGACCTGTGACCTGGGCACACCCACTATACTTGAACTGTGACCTGGGCACACCCACTACACTTGACCTGTGACCTGGGCACACCCACTACACTTGACCTGTGACCTGGGCACACCCACTACACTTGACCTGTGACCTGGGCAGACCCGCTACACTTGACCTGTGACCTGGGCACAGCGCTAAACTAAATAAAATTGTTTTGTTTAGAGCCCGCATTGTGGGCTTAAGAGACTAGTATGTAAATAATGTAAATATATGTATGGCAATTTGATTTAGCTGGAGGATTTAATTGAAGTTTCCCGCTGTGTAGTTTTACATAAAAAACGTGCTTCAGCTCAGCGTGTGCTGAGTAGTTAACATTTGTGTATATCTTCTAAACATATGTAGATGTTTAGAGGATCAAATGAAAAATTTTTAAATTTGTATTTCGACCACTTTGTTACCACGTAAACTCCAATAAAAATGATTGAATAAACAAGCCCAAAAAGGACCTCTTATCCTTTATTAGGTGAGACTGATCATGAGCAAATACAAGTTTAAAATAAATTTTCCTCTGTCCCAATCCCTTACAAAGCTTGTTAAAAATGAGTGTTTCGAGTAAATATTCTACTATATCTCTGTGTCTCAGGTGGAAAAGTAATAGGGAATGGTGGAAGGGGTCCAGCCTGGCAAGAGATTTCCTACGGTAAAAAATACATATTTATGTTACTCTATCGAAGAGGATATTATAACGAACATTACTGACATATGTACATATTCCAACGAACGTGTATGAGAAATTTACATTCTGAGGATTTTTTGCCCTTCAAGATTATCAAGTTTATCTTCGACAGCGACGAACCCACCCAGCCATGTCAACAACGAAATTTTCAAAAGGCATAATCTGCCAATTTTTAGGTTTGGCAGAGATATTTTCATCTGAAGCAAAGAAGCCCAGAAGTAAACTTATAGTTAGAAGGTGTAAAATTTGTGACCTTCTGAGCGCATTTTCTACATAGGATCCAAATATCTCTGCTAAACCTGAGCATTGGCAGATGCTGCCTTTCGCAAATTTAATATCAATTAAATTTGTGATCGATTGTTATATTACCGATTGTTAATATTGTTATACCAGTTTTATCAAAACCTATCAGCATGCGGAGACCTTCATATACATGGATAAAAGTAAAAGTAATCCTTTGACAATGCATTGTCAAAGGATTACTTTTACTCGAACATTCAATCTCACCTCAAATGTGTCGGGAAAAATGAGTTCCAACGGTGCATTTAAACTCGTGATGACCAAACTTCTATACCCATTCGTGATCACGGTACAGGCCAAGATCCAAACTCCGATGAGGACTCTGATTGCAGAAAAACGATCTATTTTCCCACCCACTGTTTCGATTTGTTCGAATAAAGTGCCAATTACCCAATAGAGTAAGGTAAACGTATGCAGCCTGTTGCAAGATTTTGCCTTCCCGTTCAACTTGGCTTGTTCAAAACTCATCAATTTAAGACTTGCCGTCACCACTATCGCTGATAACCCCACGCCTGCCCAAGTTACCCCATCAAACGGTTTTACATAAAGATTGAAGCTACCTTCCGTCTTTGAGTTGCAGGTCAAGAAGTGGACGTTCTTTGATCCAGTAACCACGATTGAAGAATACCAAATTGACTGTTCCCAATTATGTGTCGTCTGATCTGCCCACACCTCTGATATTTTGCATTCGTACTTATCTTGGTCACTGAAGCAATATTCTTTCAGTGTGATGTTAAGTGATTGGCCCAACGCAATCAGGAGTATGTACATATCCCCCGCCTGGATTTGGTTTAACCGTTTGACACCAAGTGCCTTTTCCCGGCTGTCTGGAGAAAAGCCAGGAAAACTGAAACTTATTTTGAATAAATTTCGTGGTTCGGTCGCTCTCATTCGATTCATTATATGACCGCCTTGTTCTTTCCAACATTGTAGATTGGAATACACCGGTTTAGACATTTCTGGAGAGTGTGTACATATTCTTGCCGGAGACACATCCTTGGGTAGCATGAGGACCCCGAAATGTTGTATTACTGACAAGGTGTAAGAATTTGGAAAACGTCCGAATTTTTTAAGATAAAATGCGTATAATTTATTCTCCTTGGATACATTTTTGGACATATTGGTCACCAAAAGGGCGTAACAGTTTGGGGTTAGAAACGTGTCATAGTATCTTAATGTCATCTTAGTATTCTCGAATGAGTAGAAGAGCAAAATGTGAAAACGCAAGAGATGTCCGAGGCTGTCGGGGTCAAAGGGTGGGTTTGAGTAGAAGAGGAAAAAGTGGCAGAAGGATTGGTGATGAAGGGTGTGGCGGACGTGGTTATGTTTCTTGGTCGTATTTACGAGATGATTGAACTCTTCCGGCCAGGAGAGGGTGGGTGGGGTTGGAACTGTGACGATGGGATGGACAACTTTGGCTTGGTCGTAGTGATGGAAATCCAGGTTGTGATGGACAATGTGGGTGATGCAGGGGTGCGTTTGGGAGATTATGTTGGTGAGATGGGGTTGCCCAAAAGTGCCATAATTCGTGGTGCCCATGGCTTTTGAAAAATGGGAAAGTATAATAAGAAATATTGGAAAATTTCTAAATTTCCGGTTTATTATTGGCGTCATTTTTCCAGTCAATGGGAATGAACTTTGGGTAGAAAGGGAAAGTAAGTGGGTGTGAATTTCACTGGTCGAGGAACTATTTCACAATGCTGACAAAACTACAAACAACAAAATATACACTGGATGATACGGATACTTAAATTGTTCTGGATTGCTCGGAAGGGCTGGGAATAACTGTCTGCGTATTTGAATCGATTCAAATACGCAGACGTATTTCCTATATGAAAGTACAGAGAAGTTTTAGATGTCTGAATCTAGATTAGTAATCTCGATTGTGCAATTTCTATTTGAACTAAATGCGAATTGTGTACATATTTTTTTACAATGTTCATGTAATTGTTTTATCTGATATTGCCAGAAAAAAAAAACTTTTAGAATTAATTTCTACTTACTCCTTAAAATAGTCGTGAAGTATTGATGTATATGCATTGTTACACTCATCAAACTTTTCGTACAATCTTGCTTCCGCCAAAAATACGAAAATAATCTTAGGATAGCGAATTGAATGAATGATTAGGATAGAGAGAGTGAAATATGTAAGATTGTAGAAGATGATATGTATTTAAATACATATTTAGACTTTCAGGTGCATAACCTGTTATATTAAACCATATAACTAGAATTTTATTTTTTATTTTCAATTCGGTACCAAGATTCCATTACGGGTGACCAGACTACGCTGAGAAACGAAATGGAAAAATGACGAGTGTTCCAAGGCAAAAAGATAACCGAAGGTCATAATCCTAACAGAAGGTGAGCTATTTATGTTCATGTTATTGAGCAAGGAAAATATTTACGTTAAATGTGAAAGTTTCATACGACTACGAGTCTTAATGGAATAATTATGTAAAATTATATACATCGTTCGAGCAAAGTGATAAAGTTCATCTGCACTGAAAATGTTAAATTATTCAGGGCACGTGGATTAAATGGCTTGATTGCTTATCCAGTTAGAATACCTACTAATAATACGAGACTGTATGTATATAGATTAATGGTAGTGCATGTATGTACATGTATCTGTATGTAACCAGAATAATATTAAACAACTTACAATTTTCGGGAGAGGAACGATATTCATGTTAGAATTTGATAATAAAGCTATGTAAATGATTATGTGTGATTAAATAAGTACAAATATTGATCAATATTTTTCGGCTTATTATAGAATGGAATGGCACTATGGTTCAACAGGTCATCTCATTGCATAAATCTTATAATGTTAATTTCCAACAATGCATAATAATTAATAAGCCAGTCTCCCATGCGTACATAAGTATGTATTCACTGACATGAAAATAAAATCCTCACTTAAATTTGAGGCAGGCAGGAAAAAAGGCGAAAACAACTTGGTATATGTATGTATACATGACTATGTATGTATGTAAATATTTACATAGACAAACACAAGGGACTGAAAAAATATACTGTATGCATAAAAATGCAAGAAAGCCTGAGAAAAAAAGTAAATTTGAAATTTAGCAATTATTTGGCAAAGATGATGAGAGAATATTGCTTGTACTTTGTTGCCTCTCGCCACACTTTGCACTTTACATAAGCAAACTGTCAACAGTGCGAAACCAATAATTCAAATCCAACCACATGTGAAAATCTTTCAACTGCTGATTTGTCCAAGTCATTGTTTTGTTGCAAATTGCAAATTACAATACATAGTACCTGTTTTGTATACGATAAAGTGAAAGAAATTGACCGGTGTGGTTGTCTTACGTCTTACCACAATACAGATAAAGGTAAATATGCATATCGAACACGGTGCAGGGCGAACGCTGGTGTACTCTTTCAATTAAATATAAAAATCCAATTCTAATAATTCTGTAGTTTAAATTTAGAATTAGTTTCCGTGAAACGAGTTCCTTCTTACATATACGAATAGGAAGAAGGGTACAGTCCCCTTCACAGCTTTTCAATCCCAGCCTGCGTAATCCTTTCCATTGTTGAGTGTCTTGCCCATGTACCATGTTCAATGTTATACATACATCTGTAAAACTGGTCGACTAACTGAAGGGGTATTATTATTTTGTATTTTGTACAGGTTCCCTTTCTTCTCTGATCCCTTAATCCCTTCCTTGCCAAAGGGTCGTGTCAAGTTGTGGTCGCTGGCTAAATATCCACATTCACAATTCTCTTCTCCGACGGACAGAGTAAAATTCACTATCAAGAGTCGTGTTGCTAACTAATCAGGTTTCGTCATGGAGCAATTAGATTTAAGTAAGTTTTGTCAATTGTAATTGCTAATCAAACTCTGACCCAGTTAATAATTAATTTTAAATATTTTCTCCACAAGGCGGGCCCTCATCCGTACAAGTTGGCGAGAATGACGACGAGACGACGACACCAGTTCGTCGTACGAGCGCCCGAATCGCCACGGCTGAAAGTGCGAAGTTCAAAGTTCAAGTTAACCAAGAAGATAAAAAATTCCCCCCAGGAAAACGAAAATCGACGCAACAAGTCAAGGCAAAGGCACGTCTTGATAAACAACCGCCCAAGAAAAAGGTGAAGAAAACTGTAAAACAAAGTTTCAAACCAGTCAAAAAAATGGCAAAGAAAAACAAGGGCACGGCGACGACTGCTGGAGACGTTTTGGAACAAGTAAGTTAACCGGAGATGATTTTAATTCTTTACTCGTGATTTAACTGTTAGGGCGCCCCTCACGATAATAGTGCTGACCAATTAAAGAAAGCCTGCGACCTAGTCCTGGCCGACTTTCCCCTCCAGGATCGCGAATGGTTTGACGAGGCCTCACGGATCTGTAAAATTTGTAGAACAATGTACAAAACGTGTCAACAGGGTGAGCGGAAGAGAAACCTTGTTAAATTTATGAAGGCTACGAACTAAATAATAATTATATGAATTTATTTACATGTCAAGCTTCCCTCTGCGTGACGAATAAACACGGTCAACTTCGGTGCTACTTATGCTTTGACCATCTTCGCAACACGGAAGCCCTCTTTGACCACTACCGAGCCGACCATACACCCTCCGGGAGGGAGAACGTTCTCATTTGCAATTACTGCTCAAACTCCGTGCCATTTAAGAGCGTTTCGAGCCACGTGATTTCGATGCACTTATCTGAAAAGGCGACCGGGCGGAGGGAGCGGGCGGGGGTATATCACGCTCGAACGCAGGCCTTGATGAGATGGGGACGATAATTATCCAATATGAAATTTTCATTGAAATTAAATTTGTCGTGAATTTTTACACGGTAGTTTTTATATAATTCGTTTCGCAATTTATGTATTAAACATTACTAGTAAATATTTATGTAAGGTAAAGTACATATGAAATATTCCAAAATATGGTTAAATTGCGTTAATAAATTGAAATATTGTAAAACAATATTAATAAAGCAGTAAATTCTGATAATCGCTTATCTTTTATGTCGCAAACGGACAGGCTCGCTAGGTTTGGAAGGTTTTTTAAACTTTTTGTCACACTTTGTACATCATATTTTTTAAATTTTGTTCAAATGTCAACGTTACCGTAACCTTTCGTCGTGGCGAAAGATGAACCACACGATTTTGTGTGAAATTTAAGATTCCTACCCAGTCCGTACCATGAATGAGAACCAAGGTTTCTGAAAGAGAAAAATGTGACAAATTTTCGCAAAAACTTGGGGGTCATAAGGTGCATACAATTTTACGCACAGTTTTACGACTTTTGGAAGTTTGGACATTTCATTGAATGACCCTTTATAATAATCCGTGTAACTTTGGCAATTTTGAATGTCCTTTTTTAAGTTTGAGACGTCTTTACTATAATTGTTCTGGCTTATTTTCAAGGTGACATGAAAACCCAAACGTGTGGGTGTGTTTATGTATATCTTTATTGTGTGTTACAGTTTCTTGGACTTGTAATTATTCCTCGCTTTGTCCACTTCTTCTATACCAGCCGGGTTGCGGAGATTGGGCGAATTTTACCCAACCGTTGTGTGATCCTCTTTATTAGTAATAAAGAGGATCATAGTATGATTTGCATAATTAATAAACTCTGTATAATTTTGGAATTGCAGTTAGGTCTTTTTCCCCGTTTTTCTTGTGCACTTAGGTGGATTTAGAATTAACTATTGACTGCACTTCGGTGGATTTAGAATTAACTACTTACTGTACATAGGTGGATTTCGAATTAAGAAGCGAATGCACTTACGTGGTTTTAGAGTTAGTCCGACGATATATGTATATTATTCATATCTTTGTTTCGTAGCAAAGCTCAACATACATGACATACATACATAAGTTTGTTGTTGAGTAAATTGTCCATACGCACGTAACATTGATTGGCCCAACTGCACAGAATATAGATTCTACCAGAAGAATCGATCTTATGTATTCGAGTGACGCTTATGGAAGAACGGGGAGAGCCAACCAAATAACTCGGTGTACATTTGGCCCACCTGGGGGATGGCACCTCCGCATCATCATCGTCACCACATCTCCTGGCATCAAGAAATGATGATGAAAGCACATAGGTGGCGGTGGCACCCCCATTTGTGCACCAGAACACACCCTCGTAGAGCATCAAATTTGTGGAGACGCAGCTCAGAAATTCTGAGCTGAGTCAGAATTGTGTGTTCTGGTGCACAAATCGGGGTGCCACCGCCACCTATGTGCTTTCATCATCATTTTTTGATGCCAGGAGATGTGGTGACGATGATGATGCGGAGGTGCCATCCCCCAGGTGGGCCAAATGTACACCGAGTTATTTGGTTGGCTCTCCCCGTTCTTCCATAAGCCTCACTCGAATACATAAGATCGATTCTTCTGGTAGAATCTATATTCTGTGGCCCAACTGCTACTGCCATCATCTGCGCATGAAAACAGAGGAGCTTTTTGCACACAAGGCTCCACTAAAAATATCTATGTAATTTTGCAGACAACGTTTCCACTCTAAATCCTGTGCTTGCATTACAATTTGTTCACTTTTTCAAAGAGGTTTTAAACTGGCAATCCAGAATTTAATTTCTTAAATTTAGACAAGTATTAGTATATTTATTTATAAAGAAGACAAATGTCAGAATCCAGTGACGAGTACGGTGTGGGATTTATTTCTCCAAGAAAAATTACTTTTGGCCCAAAATTGGGAGAGGGTTCGTTCGGTGAGGTGTTTAAGGGTGAGATTTTCATAATATATTTATTTTACCATACATAATTATTTGTATTTCAGGATGAAATTTTCATCGTTTTCTTATTTATGTATGTAGGAGAATGGAAACGGTATCAAAATGGGGCTCCGTATTATACGGACATCGCCATTAAAATTGTCCGTGATCAAACCCTCATCGACAATGCTTGGGATGAAGCTCACAAAATGAATGAGTTGGACCACCAAAATATTTTGATGATCTATGGCGTTTGTAATCACCGTGAGTGAAAAACTTATATTTTTTCCAAAGTCAATGTAGAAATTACGAGCCTAGATTTAGTTTACTTTTTAAAATTAGTAATTAATTACGTGTCGTAATTTTGATAATTTCAAGTTTCATTTCATATTTACGATGTTGGTTCGATTTTAAGTTGTTAAGTACGTCTTTCAAAATTTCAAAATTACTGAAGAGAGTGCTTTCAAATTTTACAGCCGATGATGCTGCCCCTTGGATGATTATGGAATATATGCCGTGCGGTGATTTGTGGAATTATTTATATAATAGGCCACAAGGTTGCCCTTCCGTAAGTTGTATTAAATTTTATATTTACAATTTTTTAGTATAAAAATCACAATGTAAATGAATTTCCCATTTTTGACAGGACTGGATGTGGTCCATTGCTCAAGGCATTGCCTCCGGGATGGATTATCTTCACAATGATGCTAATCAAATTCATGGCGATCTTGCGGCCCGAAACTGTCTTCTTGGCCATAATGACTCCGTCAAGATTGGGGACTTTGGTAAATTTAATGACAATTATTCCAACGACTATTGTTATGGCGCAGGAGGGGTAAGTCAAATCATGAACGTTGTCAAGCATGCTGAAGGTGACTATTTGCTAATTTGATTTAATTGTTTAGGGGGGAAATTTACCCTTCCCGATGCGCTGGATGCCCCCTGAAAATGTTGCGCCTGCTTTTACATATCCTTACAAACCAAAGTTCAGTAAGGCCGGTGATGTCTGGGCGTATGGCGTCGTGCTCTTTGAGATCTGGACGAGGGCAACCACCCCATACGACGATCTGACGGATGACCAGGTCAATAATTTATTAAATATTTTGGCACTGTCATATTTTTTATTATTAATAGAATAATTACAAATTTAGGTCCGTGCTACGCTCGCTGCGGGGAACAATCCTTACCATTTTACGAATGTGCTGGCCTGCAACTTCATCAGAGGTCTTATGGATCACTGCTGGACACGAAATGTCAACGATCGAACAGATTTTGCAGAAATTGTGGAAAGATTTGGAAATTAGGATTTCGTTATATATATATTTGATCTGCATACATACGTATATGTATGTATGAGAATAAGAGACTAATTTGATATCATTTTTGCATTTGAGTTACTTTTCATTTTTAAGATAATAATTAAAATTCAATTTTTACTGTAAATATGTAAATATGTATTATGTAAAATCTGGTGAATTACTAGCTGTTCAGAGAAATTTATGATTTTGTGACGACGTTGAAAACATTCATAATATTTAAATGTGTATTCTTATGTCATATGTATGTATGTATGTAAGTATGTAAGCTTTAAGAAGAGAGTGGGTACTTATGGCTTCAATCAATGTGTACGAAAAAAAATAATTTGAAACATGTTTCGATCAACATTACTAATTACATTACTAACAAATTTATTAATTAATTAAACAAATCCATTAAAATCTATTATTTCAGTATTAAGAATTAATTAAAGTTTTAGCAACAATCGATAACAATGAAGCATAACATTTTTATCATTTTGTGATTTTCACCCAAAATTTTAAAGTATTCACAACTATTCTAACCAATAAATAATTATGCATCTATCTAACTGAATGGATCTTCGCCAATAAATGCCTCAAAGCTTTCTTCCTCACTGTCGCTACACTCGCCATCCTCTTTTTCTAAATCTTTCACAACGGGTGACAATTTTGGAGGCAATACCACAATTGGTTCATATTTAATTGAAGATGGCGTGCTTGGCTTGTAATCGTAATGAATCTTTGTCTCAGAAATGGGGGCGCATTTGTAGTCCATGTTACTGTTATCATCCCAAGAATATGTTGGCTCTTCTTTCACAGAAGGATATCTTGGATAAGCGTTTGTTGGAGGGTAGGCATTGTAGTTTCTATTACCACCACCGAGAGGTGAATCGTATCCAGAAAATTGGGAGAATTGTTGACCAACGCGATACTGTTTTCGTTCCGGTTTCCTTTGGTAATGCGGAAGTTCATAAAGGTTGACGTCGTTTTGCAGTCGTTCGTCGACTTGGTAGACGGGTTCATATCTGGATTAATTAATCATAATAATATTACAAGCTTATTAAACTGGTTCATTTAATATTTTTGCAATGTTTTCTGCAAATTTGTATGCCTGCTTACTTTTGTGGATAGCGTGGTTCAGGTGGCAAGATCACGTTGTGTTTTGGCATCGCAACAGATTCGTATACCGATTCGTATCTGTAATATTTAATGGAAATGTAATTTTTCCAAAATTTCCTCTCCAGTTATCAAAATCATATTATTTACCTTCCATGCCGTGCTTGATACGATATCGGTTCTGGTTTTGATGGCTCCTCAGTTTCCATATTGTCATCGCGTCTTTAAAAATAAAACCATTGCAATTTCATCAAACGAAAGATACTTTTTTTTTTATTATTTACGAAATTTATGCCATGCAAAAAAAATATCTACCCTTTCGCCTCTGCATCCCAATCTTCTGCCGCTTCGCCCCAACAATTTTCCTGGTTTCCGTTGTCATACATGACGTGCTTATCGCGCCTGGATTTTTTCGAGGGTCGCGTCTCAACCCTTCCGACCACCTGACCGTGACCGTAATCTTTGAACACGGATCGGTTGCTGCCATAAGTGTCATCTCCTTCAGGGGAAAGGTCAACGCGATGCTTGTGGCCATCTTTTTTGTGATGATGGCGACGCTTTTCAACGCCATGGTCCCCCCTTTCACGATCGTGATGTTTGTGTTTTTTACTGTTTTTTTCGCGGCGAGGTTTATATCGGTCGTTATCTTGCTCAACTGATTTGTATTAAAATTAACTTAATTAATGAAGTGAATTGAATTTCGACCGAACCAAAGGTAATAAGTGATAATGAAAGAAATTGTATTTTTGTTGTGAGCGGTTTTGGAATTTTGATAAATTGGTGGGACTTCTTACCTGATGAGTCGCGAGTATTCATCATAATGGCGGATGAGCACTTAATTTGATAACTGTGAAAAGTGGGGGTCTTTCGGAGTAAGTTAAATATTTATAGTGTGTAATTTTACTAATGAGAAAACACTGTTTTTGCGAGAAGTCAGGAGTTAAAATGGAGACTGTGGAGTGGACTTGATTTGATTTACAGGGCAAGCAAGCAAAAATGAATGCTGAACCTCGTTGTGTAGAATTTGAGGAGAAAGGGAGCTGAATGAGCTGAAGAAGGGTCTCATCCTCAGTCACACATGACAAGGGATAGGATCGAATGATGGGTGAAAAACAAGTACCTATTTTGTTTGAAGGCCAATTATTTAGACTGGTGAAGGGATGAATGTGTGCCCTTATGTACAAGGGATACACATATGTATTGAAGACCTTTTTTGAATGCACGCGATGAGGGCATGGAAATCTAGAGTGATGCATGCAGATAATACAAGAAATAGTATGCATTTCTTAAAAACCTACTCCCACAGAATATAGATTCTGCGTATGTAGAATCTATATTCTGTGACCTACTCCAAGCAACTTTGCGGGGCCTTTTAAGATGGCATTAATGTCATCTTGGTAGTTAATGGCAACACATTTGGGTGGAAAAGACCCCCACTGGCCAACTACTTGGTCGATCATGCCCATCTCCGAACTCATCCTTACTTTTTACCCTAAGATCAAGTGTGCAAAATTTCAAGTCGATAGCTTGTGTTTAAAGAGAGTTATCGTGCGCACAGACGGACGCACAGACGGACGGACAGACAGACATCATGGTAAATCTATAAGGCCATCTTAAAAGGCCTAAAACCTGGAGTAATTTTAGAACACATACATATGCACATAGGCAAACCTACAACTTAGTAAACTGGAAGTTCGGCAATTTTTTTTTTGATATTCCGAAAATAAATTGACTTCGCTAGCTAATTCGCCTACTTTTTATGAACACAAAGAACGCATATTTAATTTTTCAGGTATTTTTTCATGAATTTTTAAATCAATCTATTTGTATTTTTCTCATATAAGGCGCAAGCAGTAATCCTGAATCCTGATAACATGAAAGTTCTTGCGATCATGCGGACTTTCATGAACTGCTTGGAAATGAATGATAACTTTTCGTGTGTTCTACTAAAAGATGATTGAGAAATGAGATGAGTTTTGCAAATTGCAATGCGAAATTTTCCATGCAAAATTTGCATTGAAGCATTGATGAATGAACTTTGTTTCGTAGGGATTTTGAGATTTCTCTTTTGGCACGAATTTGAGTCCATATGCTCAACTTTGTAAAAGTGAACAAAACAAACTTCAACTTACAACAGCCGATTGAAAGTTTGGAACTTTAAACTTTAAGGCTAAAACGCAAATATTTAATTGGTGCTCTCAAACGTAGGTATTTTTAATTGAATTATTTATATGTATAAGCTTGGATACATGCATTACATAACGTACAAATTTCAATTAATCATGTTGTACATTTTTCTAAATATCTAGATTTAATCAACATGTCCAACCAACTTTGCCTTTTGTGTTTACAAGTTATCAATAAAGTCACCACAGCAAAATCCTCACAAAAAATCAGAATCGAAACCGTGTGTAAACTTCTAACACAACGTCATCCTAATTACAAATCTTCTCATTTATCCGAATTTAATGAGGACGAAATGTGCGATTTTTGTGAGGATTGTTATCCTCTCTTCGCCACAATGGAAGAAATTAAGAACCAAATTTCTTTGTTGGAGGAACAAATTGGAAAGCAAATTCAACAAATTCGGGACATAATTTTGGATGGTTCTTCTCAATTAGGAAGTAATGGGGATGATGGAAGGGAGAAAATTAGGCAAATTCGTGACATGATTCTCAGCGTGACAGGTTTGACATTTTTTAACTCATTAATTACTGGCTATTTGAAATTATTTATTGTCTGAATAAGGAGACAATGCAGAGCAACAAGATGAAAATTTTGTATCGGACGAGGTTCAAGTCAAAGTGGAACATGATGATGCTAATCCCCTCGGTGATGTGGATGACCAATTCTGTGACGATAACTATAATTCCCACTCCCACCAGCCAAGTGTCGGCAAAACAAACGAGGAAGAGACGGATGATTTACTTCACGACGAGGAGGATGATGACGCGGCTTTTTGTATTACTCCTTCTAACCAAAAGAAGTCAAGGAGAAGATGTAAATCAACGAATAAAAAGCCACCGCTAAGGTATAGAATAATTTTGAGTTTTTTATATGCTCGAAGTACTCGTAGATATGCTCATGTCAATCTATGAGATAATTTGTTAAATTTGTTTAAATTCGTTTTGAAAAAATTCGTAAAACATATCAAGTTTATTATCTTTATGTTTAGGTTACGGTTAATATTAATAATTATCAGGTTACGGCTCTGTTTTACGAATGATTCTTTTTTTACTATTCATTAAAAAATTTATGCATTTTTAAAGGAAACGAAAAATAGAGGATTCTCTCGCAGAAAGTAGCCAAAAATCAAAAATAGTTTCGAAACGGATAAAATCGGAGTCTTCTGTACCAGCCAGCCTGCGAGCGACACGATCCTCCCCCCGCGTCACGAAACAAAGCGTCCCTCCACCCAGCGGTGTCAAAACTCTGGTAGTTTCACTGAAAAGAATTAACTCCGCAAGTAAAAAGTCCACTGCAAGATCTAAACCTACTTCATCGTCAGACAAGGATGGGGTTCCAAAGACTGAAAATGATAGCAAACCCACACCCAAAATTAAAATAAAGCGTAAAAATGATGCCACTCTCTCCCCCACGAATATCCCTTGTCTCATGCCGTCATGCACCGCCACGTTTCGCACCCTTCAGACAAGGGACGCTCACTTAAAACATTCCCACGACGGATTCTCCCCTTATCAATGTCAAATATGCAAGAAAAAGTGTCGTAATCAAAACAGGCTCGCCGCCCATATGGTAATTAAACATGAAAAAGGTGAGAAGAAATTCCCTTGTATCAAATGTGGCAAGAGTTTCTGCCTCGAGGAAAACTTGGAGAGGCATTTGAAATTGCATGAAGTCGAGGAGATCAAACCGATCGTTTGTGACGTGTGCGACTCGCGGTTTGAAAACGAGGAGAAACTGAACGTTCATTCAGAGACACACATTGTCAAGTTTCGATTTCGGTGCCAATATTGCGGAAAGACATGCCAGGAGAGGAAAGAGTTGGAAAGGTGACTGTGACTGGTTAATTTCACCTTTGTCTATTTTAGCAGCTACCTATTTAGCGTTAACTAATTATTTATTATTTTTTTAGGCATGAGCGTTCCCACACCAAAGAGAAACCGGAGAAATGCTCCCACTGCGAAATCAGATTTGCCGACAAGGTCACTCTACAGCGTCACGTGATCCGAGACCATTCATCAGCACCCGCAGCAAATATTTGTCACGTTTGTGGAAAAGGGTTCTATCTTCCCGCCGACCTCAAGATGCACCTTGACCGACACGACGGCAAATATAAGTCCAAGTGCGACAAGTGTGGCGAAACGTTCGTAAACTCCAATTCATGTCAATCTCATCGTGTCAAGGTTCACGGCGAAGACCCTTTCGTTTGTGATGAATGGTAATTTGTTTATTTTTTATTTTTGGAAAGTAACATTGGTAAAATTTTTAACAATTTTGATTTTTGATAAAGTGGTAGCAGTTTTACATCGCTGCCAGGATTAAGATTGCATAAAAAGTGCTCCCATGAAGGAGTTAAAAAGCACAAATGTCAGGTAAGCCCACAAATTCCAAATTATTAAAAACCTCGCGTTTTAACGCTGGTAATTTTTTAGTAGATTTTAATCAGAGATTTCTGACTTTGCTAAACTCTTATTGACATTAATTATTGTACTCATTTTTAGAAATTAATTATAAAACATTTTTTTATTTACGTACAGACTTGTGGTGCCTGCTTTGTCCGGGCGGACGTATTTAAGCGTCACACACAAATACACAAAACAGAGCGACCATACTCCTGTCCCCACTGCCCACAAGCCTTCAAGGTGAAGAGAAGTTTGACCGATCACCTGCAGCGTATCCACACTCCAGGCTATGTCATCCCCACCCCTTACAAATGCCCCCATTGCGACAAAGGATTCCCATTTCCTTTCCATCTGGCGGGTCACATCCGTCAAGCCCACACAGGAGAGCGGCCCTTCAGTTGTGACCAGTGCGGTAAGGGGTTCGCCATAAAGTCAGCGCTAACTCTACATTTGAAAGGAGCCCATGGCGTCGTTTTGGAGGTGAAAGATAGGCTACCAAGGTCGAAAAAAGATGTGTTCCAAGAAGAGGACGCCAACACTTAAATCTTACATAGAAATTGTTAAATAGATTTTTTACAATGTCAAAAGCCTAGGTCATAAAAAGCGTTATTGAAGTATTCAAAAAGTTTATTTCCAAATTACAATTTGTAATGCTTGAATCAGATTAAAAAATGGTAATAAAGTACCATAGCTATGTAAAATAGATAGACACAATTTCTTAAAAAAACACATTTCTTGAAAAATATGCTGCAAAGTGTCCACTTTTAATTCGACTATAAAAACGTCAAGACATAATTTAAAATAACAAGTTATAATTTTTTAAGTCAACATAAGTTTGTCTAAAATTTCAACAAAAAAATTGTTTTTAAATTAGCATGCGGAGCCTCACGGCGTTTTTCGACCAGTTTCAAGCGCTAGCCGGACATCCTATTGTTGGTTATATACATATTTACATGCAATTTGTGTCTCCTCAAACGGACAATTTTTGAGGAAACATAACCAACAAGGTGACAATGTAGGTGCACCCAATACTGAACATTGTCAATGGAGCTTTCCTATCAATGGAATATATCCCCAAAATTTTTACTGCAAAATATTTAATTGACGCCTGCAGCTTGAAATCTTCCCTCGTCCGCCGGCGCGTGCTAAATTTTCGTGACAATATGTATTTTTCTGCGCCAACCTCTATACTGGAGGCGGCAATTCCAATGCCTAACAGCATGTTGGCTCCAAACAGGGCGACGACGGCTGTAAGATAACCAATATTGAGGCATTTCACGCATGATAACATTATAAATTCATAAATTCCTTAAACTTACAAAATTTTACAAATATTTGAAAGGAAAATTAGCTTGCATGTTTGTGAACAAACTCAGATCCAGGGCGTCCTTTTACCGATATTTTGTAAAAGTTTATAAAGCTACAACTACGATGACTACGTATGTAAATTGCCGCAGGTTTAGCAAAATAGCAAAATTACTAAATGAACCGAAATGATCTATCTGATCATTTTATGATTTTTTTGGGGAATTGTGGGACCAATTTTTATTTAGTTTAAATTATAGCCAAACAGATAAGCATACCTAAAGTTCCAAGACACACGGGGGGTCCAACGCCTTCTAGTTTTATTAAACCCGTCATGCATAAAATGTACGAAGCGCCACACGTCACTTTCAAAAATGGGATTAAAGAATTTGCGAAACATTCGTTAAACCGACTGTTCAGAATTTGGAGTTGGAAGTAAATTCTTATCTCGTCACGAATTGATAGCCAACATTTAGGAGTAAGGTCTCTCCTAAAATTTAATATCACAAAAAGATTTAAGTAAGAAATTTCCTACCAAATTATGGAAATTTTGAAATATATATATTTTTGTTTTAATTTTAATTTTTTTACAATTCCTAGTTTGCACCAACCTTAAGAATTTCAAGGAAACTGTGACCGTGTGCACAAATACGATGATGACCCAGACCTGTAGACCAAATGCGGCTAGGTGCACCGCAATTGACCAGTAGTCGTACAGGGCATAGAGAATTGTAGAGATTCCACAATAATTCAGACTTTTTGGTAGAAATCGGTAGTAATACCAAGGCTTATTTTTCAAAAGGAGAAACAGGAATGCCGAAAATCCAGGGATTACTTGCATATAAATTGCGATAAGGATTTCAATCATGTTGCAAAGTTTCCAGCCGCGATCAAATTCATTTTGGCCAAGCTTTTCTGTTGCGATTTTTATCAAAATTTTCTGCCTTGTTTGATTCATAAAAGTTTTTCAACACTAAAAACAATGTGGTAATAAGGTTAGATTGTCACCGATACCATGCATGCGGCTCTGCTAACAAGCGATGTAAATAATTTGGTAGTAAATACTTAACTGTTAGAGATCTGCTACATATATTCAGGTATTGATTTCTGATAAAATTGGTATAGCAAATTTTTATACCGAGCTATTATGTGCTACACGGTATGAGCTATCAATATCACTTTGGTAGAGGTATATGTATATGAATACCGCTTGATATTATTTTCATACCCGATTTCTAAGAGTATAGTAAGGATAATCTTGGCTACCGGGTAAGAAATCGTTACCAACGCGGTTGAGCTGCATACAAGTTCTCAACGCTCGGTAACAATCTTCTTATTACATTACGTACATATTTAAATACGCATAATGTGTTCAGTTCAATTACCTGAAAGCTTTCTGTTCAAGATTAAAGTTTGATTATAAAATGGTGCCAAGTTTGAAGTCGCACACCGTAAATGATGCTGAATTGCGGAACCATTGCCCCACGCAAAGGCCCACATGAAGTGAAACGCGAGGTCGAAAAACGCATCTTTTTCTAGATATGACTTCGCATTGAGGACGAGTGTGGTCCAGATGAAGATGTAATAGAAAACTAAGATTAATTGGATAATTGGAAATATTACTCTCCCAACGACATCTTTTCTATAGTAGAGAAGACCGGGGGGTGACGAATCGGTGAAATTGAACTTAAAGGGGTAGCACCTCCAAAAACTTTCATACCAGGCAAACAATTTGGTGGAAGTTTTTAGAAATTTTAGGTAGTCATGGTTACACGAGGATTGAGACATGATTGAAAGATGTTGAGTCCAGGAAGTGAGAAGAACTAATGTGCTCAATGTGATGGAGTATATAGATTAGGAAAATGTGCATGTATTCAATAAATCATCAATTATCGAGCTATTTATTTAGTTTGGTTCGAAAATATTTAGCAGTAATTTTGGGTCTAATCGTTTCTGAATTTGTGAGACGTGGCCTGTAAATTGTGCGGATATGGCAAATTAAATGCGCATACATATTTCTCAATTTGTTTGCTCTATTATAAGTTCAATGATTTTCAGAATAATTGGCACGAGGATGAATTAACTACTCGAAAGGTAAACAATAACTGTTTATACTTGAAGGCATTCGTAATTGGAAATGACAACGTTCTTTGTAACAAAATAATTTCCGCTAAACGAATAACAAACGGGAGTATTAAAGATAATAACTTGTTCTTGCACAATGGTTTCAAAACGATGATAAATATTTTATTTTAGTACTATCTATTTGTTCACATGCAATAAGACCTACAGTATGTACCCACAAAACGCATGTACATATACACGTATTTACACACACAAGTACAAATGTTAAATGTACAGATCTAATCCTAACTTATTTTTCTATTTCGTATTGAAAATGTCTGAGAGCTAATTTCTAAACATACTGATAAGTACATACCTACTCTAAAGTTTTTGTTAAAGAAATAAATATGTATGTCTGTAAGTTAAGTTAAGTTTGGTAATTATTAATTATATTGATTCGTAAATATTATAGTTTTTTGGGGTAATGCGAAATAAATGAGAATAAAATTGTATAGAATTGATACTGGATGTTGGATGCATATTTATGTATTATAAAAGAGATTATCTTTTATTTTTAAATGAGGTAGAATAAAACGGCTAAGCATATGACTGTCTGCAGTTAATTTGTAAATTGGAGAAATGAAATTTGGGAGAAATCAGATAACATTTTTTGGCAGATAAGCCATCTTTAATAAGGAGAGATCCATTCAATTCATATTTAATAAAGCTTGTTAGTCTCTTATCTAATTAATTCCATTCATTGGTTATGTTTTTGTTCACATTTCCTGTCTCCTCCGTCTGAATAAAATACCATTTATACATATATGTACATACTTCGGTTTCATCCATTTCATGGTTCATTTCGTGGGGGGGGGAATGCAATATTTTGAGCTGCGGAGTTCTTCCCAAAATTTGGTTTTCCAGGAGTGTTACGCCCACAAAAAGACGAAAATCTGCATGCAGAATGCATAAGTCGCACAAAAATACAAGTTTTGTCAAGAAATTATTATTTTATCGTTGTCAAAATACATTGTTATCGCGATTTTTTAAATGAATAAAGTATTTTGATCGAGTTAAATAGTTAATTTCTTCAGAAAACACTTATTTTCGTGTGACTGTTGTCTTCTCCACGCAAATTCTGGTGTTTTGTGGGTGTAACAGCCCTGGAAGTTCAAACCCTGGGAAGAACGGAGCTACGTTATTTTACCCACGTCTGCATTTCTGTGCGTGAATTTAGTCTGAAAACTAACTGGCGACGATGATGATAAGCACAAATCAGTATAAAACATGACGCTTATGTATGGATTTGTATTGTAAATATTTTTAGAATAAGGAGTAGATTGAAGAGATGAAAGGACAGACGAAGAATGTGATAACGATTTGTTGGAGCCAATTCTTAGCCAGTATTCGAGACGGGAAATGCGGATGCACGATTCAAGCGATGAATACGACCTATCAGTCTTGTTGTTACCTGAGAAATAAATTCAATTCATTGCATTGGTTTAGGCTCACATTTCCATCTTCTGCGTCTCAATCTCATGATAAGATTCCCATCTCTGTGGTACATATGTATGTACATACACATGTACATAAGAATCTATTTATGTATATGCTTGCATACAGACGATAGGATTTTATATCATGGTCAATTATTTTCCTTCTTCGGGAATCCAATCCAACTTCCCGTCAACATTGTTCCTCCGAATGGATGAAAATTGTCTCCATAATAAAAGGACGCTAAAGGATAAAAGGACATCTCAACCTTTTCAGCGAGTCAGTCTAATTCTGGACGCGATTGAATCCTTTTCAGAACACTGTGAAGAAGAATTATTCAAAAATCTTTTTCTGAAATTGCTAAAAGTGTGTGAAATTGCTTCTCCCTCATAAAAAATGTAAGTAAATAAAAAATATTTTTCATACTCATGTACCTAGAATTTCGTGTTTTAAATAAGATTTGATGACGCATCACCGAAATCGTCAAAATTACCACATTTTTAATCATTTCTCCTCTTTGGGAATTTATTTTAAAATTCTGAACGACAAATTTATACTTACTGAATTGATTGATAGAACAGCGCGAGTTTTTTCACCAAGATTCGACGAGTTGCAATTTTTCTGAAGGCTTCTTAAACTTGAAATCTCCTCCGCCAAAAAATCTGGATTGTACTTTTTTTTTTAATTGGCAACGACCTGCTGTACAAATTTGTCTTCCAGAATTTTAAAATAGCTTCTCGGAGAAATGTGCTGTCTTACAATTATTAAGCGTCAAGTCTAACATTTAAAAAAAATGTTTTTTTTTTACTCCAGATCATCGAGATGGCCTTAGCAAGTGAGGCGAATCTTCTCTATTTGGAGTTGGAGAAATACCGGCAAATCTTGATTACGTCGCGGACCGCCTCCTGCAGCTTTTCTGACCAGATGAATCGTCTCGCTCATGCCGTAAACTGTTTGTATTGGGAGGCGAGGAACCTGGACGAGGCGATTCGCCAGGTCGGATCGCGCTGCGTCGTGTATAATCAGAGCGCCTGGAGCGTGAGTCACCGAACGAACCAGCTCCGCTACCAGATCCGCTTCGCCAAGAAGCAGTTGGGTATTTGGGTGAATCGTAAGTCGTCAAAGTACTTATTGTAATGTTAAACAGAGGGTGGATATATATTTATTTTCAATTTTTTATTTATTTAATAACAAACTTTGTCCGAGTGTTGCCTAACTCGCATAGATCACAAAAATTTCAAAATGTTTCCACATATTTCTAGGATTTCAGAGATATGTAGTTATAATAATTTCGGATATTGTTTAAAAAATGTGTAAATTTTCTAAATATTTTTTTTCAAAAATAGATATGTTTTATGAATACTTCAAACATACAAGATTTTTTTTGCTCAAAGAAATTCGACTATAAAAAAATAAATATTCAGAAATACAATTTTGCGAAAATTGTTGTTTTTATGATTTTTTTTGCACACATTTCGTAAATATTTTAGCGTTTTTTCTCTCAAATATTAAATACATATTTCAGCGGTGTTTCTTAAATACATATCCGCTCTCTGATGATGATGAATGTGTCCATAAACTTTTTGCCTTTAACTAATTGTCTGGTTATAATTTTTGATTGTTGCAGTGGAAAAAAATCCGCCCAAGTCTACAATTTTCTCCTCCCCGTCCCACAGCGAGTCATCTGGAGGTCATGGCCAATCTGTATATTGGTGGAGTCCTCAGCGAAAGCAGGCGTCGCAGGAGAAAGTGGCTTACAAATAATTTGTATTTAACTTTGCACTCGTAAAAACGAGCTAATATTTTGAATAATTATAGATAAAAATTAGGATTTCCAGTCTCATATGAATTTCATGTTTCATATTGCTTACTTATATAATTTTCTTTTCATATTTCTGATAAAGTGTCAAATTAAATAAATCAATTTCAAGTAAATAAATCGATACCGGGGTGTAACATTTTTGATGATTCATTTTCGATGACCAATTTCACGCTATTTATCTAGTTCTTTTAGCACTAGTTTCATCATCATCATCATCATCATTATTATTAATTATTATGGCAATTATATAAGTAGCAGGATTTATCATCACACACTAATCAATAGTAACAATCATTATAAGATAACCGTCTATAAATATGGCTAAATTAAGTTAGTTCATTTTTTAGTGAACACGACATCATCGGTAGGACGCTCATGTTCACCATTTTATTTTCTTCTCACAAATTTCTAAAAAATAATACGAATGAATTGCACACGGGGTTTGGGTATACATACATATGTAGTTTTTATGAAAACTAAATCGAGGTGCACAACCTTTGTTCAAATGATAACAACACAAATAAGATCTAAATTCTATCTGAGCATAGAAGCATATAGAAATTTCGTAGTAAATTTGAGCAAAGGAAACATCTGGACCTGCAGCATTTTATAGACGCCACGCCGATAAGGCTGCCATTAACGGCAGCATGTGTAATGCCTAATACGTTGGAATGTACGTACATACATATATTTACAAGTCACGCTGAAAAATTTAATATTCACCTTCCTAATTAATTATTTTATTGGTACCAATATGCAATTTTATTTTATGGTTTAATTTTACATATGCCTACTACATTCAACATTCATAAATCAGTACGCATGCAATATAAACATGCATGTACATGAGAATATGCATATATACATGTACGATATGTTGGGTACACTTACATAAATATTTACATATTTACTTACACATGTTTCATTTAACTTATAAGAATTACATATACATATTCCTGATATTCCATATAATTTAAGTATTTAATTTATGCTTAATGCTTATTTCCCATTGTCAGCAAAGCACGGAACGTTCCTTTCACAATTGCTTGAAGGAATATTATCGCTCGTTTTCTCGTAAATATGAAGACCCCTTCCATCCCAATGACCAGCGGTGTCTGGCACTTTCGAAATTTTGAGAAATATTTTTGGTCATATTTATCCCGGTATATTTTCTGTTTCCAAGACTTGATCACCTCTCCGGAAAGCATATGCAATCTCCCACAGACTTCGAGCACCATGGCCCAAAACGTTTGGAAGGATATTGACCACAGTATTAGGAGAACCTGTAGGAATGCAAAATCACAAAAATTTATGGAAATTTAGAAAATTGCTGCTGCTGGTAATAAAATCGTTACCGCTTGTAATAATAAATATTTGCCTACATAAAGCAACGATAATTTGTGAGAGACTCAAAATTGCACCACATCTTTATCGATTACCACTTAACTATCCGGAAGGTATCAAATTTGGGTTGCGCAAAAAATTATTGTTACCATTCGGTGATAGATTTAGTAGAGCCACATATTTGCGGTAATGATTTTTTACCAGCTTATTTTAACTCTAAAATTACAAGTAGCAAACCTTTGTCGATGTGCTTATCGTATCCCACTTTGTAAGAGCGGTATAGTTGCAGTACAAGCTGAGATCGGAGACAATTCCATGCAAAAAGACGAACGTAAGCCCAGTGCATTCCATCGATCCTTGATGAATAATTCGCACCATGGTGAATTCTCGTGAGAGATTGGTCGCATTCCTCAATCTTTTGCTAGTCATGTGTGTGGCCTTTGGCGCCGTGGAAAATTCAGACATCACAATCAAAATGAAAGCTGGAATGAATTAAGGTACACGGTAATAAATAAAGCTGGTCTGGTAATGTCACATCCCAGATAGAAGTCAACGTTATCACAACGTTATTTTCTTGTCTTTAACGTTAGATTTGTGTTAGTGTTGGCTGAATGTTACGAACTCGAAATTTCAAACATTAAACCAACATTTTTTTCAAATGTTATTACAACAGTGTTGAAATTATGTTAAAATAACGCTCTGTAAGTTTTTATTTAGTTCAGAACGTTATGAATATGTTATTGCACCGTTTACGTTTTACATTCTATAAACCAACCGACAACGTTAATCCACTGTTAGAATAACGTTATTTTAGTGTCATCCTTCTCAAAACCTCGCACTGCATGCAGCCATTCTTGTGCTCACTTCCACTCCAAAATTGCATCATTCACTCAGTATCATCAGTTCTGCCCACCACGTTACTTCCCATTCCACTTTCTTTTAATTTTATCGACAAGAATGAATAATTATAATGTCGTCGAGTTCCCTGAAGAAGAAACTGTCGAAGTTGTTCCCAGTTCTTGGATAGATTTTGCCAGCAATACCTGTAAATTTCCGATAGTTTCTGGGCTCGGTGAGCTGGCAAAATTGATTAAAAATTTCGCTCATCCATCAGATATTTGGCCAAGTTTTCCATGTCGCATAATTGGATCGAGTTATGGTAAGTATATCACCTGTCTAGTTTGTGAAATATTATTAAAATGAACGTAAACGAGTTATTAATTTCTACAGAAAATCTTTTAATTGCCCGTGAGAAAGCCAACAGAGCCACCGTGACCTCATCAATTGACTCGGACGTGTCACCAGGTCGTTCATCTGACGGGCGATCACGCAGAAAAAGAAAACAAGACGACACTGTTTTACAAAAAGTTGTTATCACGGAAAAGGATTCTTGGGGCGTGCAAACTCCCGTCAAAAAGGCATCAAAAGTGTATAAAAGTTTCTCTGCACTTATTCCATCTTCGTCGTTGAGTCCAATTGCAGAACATTCATTTCATGATGTATACCCTTTGAATGAAGGTAATAGTTTGTGTTTAGCTTAATTTTAAATTTGCAATAACACTATAATGTTTCTAATCCCATTTTCTTTTTGAATTTAAAAGGTCAGTCTATCAACTCGGAGTAAGAATCTGAAGAAGAGACTCCCATGATTGTTGCTCCTCCAAGTTTTCAGTTGGCCGAAGGAAGTGGGACTCGTATAAGAAATCAAGAAAACAAATTAGTCCCAACTGCTGACAATAACAAATTGGATATTAATGTGTCTACTTTTGAACCAAATGAAGACCAATTCGTAGTTTTAGTTGACAATGCAGACCCGCGTGATTCACCATCAGCTGTCGTAGATGTAAACCTGGCTGAGTTTGCAACAAAAGCAGATTTGAATGGTAAACAAGTTTGATAAATGTTAATTTTATGATTATAATTTTAATGCAATTTAATGAATAACAAGTGAGTTCTTTTCGTTGTTTCAGTTTTCAAAGGGATTATGCTGCGACAATTATTAAAAATACAGAGAAACCAGACAGATATTCTAGACCAGTTGACCAGATTGGGGGCAAATTCGCAACCTACAAATGCAATTGATTACTCGACCCTTCCTACATTCCCATTGAATTCAATTGTCGAAATAAGAGGATTTGAATCTTTTCTTCAACTTGATACCGACTATGCTTTAGCGGTGAACATCTTTTTTACAAATATTTTCATAAACTTACAACCACATCAATCTCACTAATTAAAAATTAATTAAAGGTCTCCTATCTCGCGTTAATTGGTGGATTTACGAAAGAAGAGGTGGTTCGGGGAATACTACGTCGCATTTTCAGCCAACCATTTGCTTGTCAAATCAGTTATTCTGGAAAGGGAAACAATAAGCTTGCTTTTAAAGACTTCCCTCAAATTCACAAATTAGTATTCGGTAAATTGGTTGTTTTACAAATACATAAATTAAATATTTAAATTTGTGCAGTTTAAATGTTTAGTTTAAACGTTTAAACATTTTATTGTAATATTTCAGATTCTGTACGGAGACACAACAAGTTCAGTAGAATTACAGATGCGGAAATAAAGAAAATAGCGCAAGACTTTTTCCGCTTTGCACCAAGTCAGAATAAGCCGAAGGAGCAAAGGGCATCAAGCAATTAGTGTTTAAGATCTCAACAATGTCCTCCGACAGAACGAAAAGGCGGAAGCTGAAGAAAGAGTTGGAAAATCTTTTAAACGAATCAAATGTTGTTAATGGTAATGATAGTTTAAGTAATACTTTAGAAATAAGTAATGATAATTCATATTGTTTCGATGATATTGATGGGTTGGTAGATACCGACGGTTATTTAAGCAATGATCCGTTATCTTCTAGTGATGACGATGAGTTTCTCCCTGAGTTTAACTTAAAATTCTCGTTAGCTGAATGGGCTATTAAAAATAATATTACGTCTGTAGCTGTAGATCAACTGTTAGAAATATTAAGGAAGTCAAATCCAAGTTCAGGGCTCCCTAGTACCTCAAAAACTCTCCTTAAAACCCCTGTAGCTTATCAAATTCAAAGTTTTGTAAATGGCCAATATTATCATTTTGGTATTAAGAGGAAACTTAACGATTTGACCCATAAGTCGTTAGATTCTCAATGCACAAATAATAATACGATAAGTATTAGCTTAGGTATTGATGGTCTTCCAATTTCTCGTAGTTCAAAAAAATCATTTTGGCCAATTTTGGGTAGAATTGAACAAGCCTGTGATAAAACCCCATTTTTAGTTGGTCTGTGGTTCGGAGAAGGGAAACCAGCAAATTGCGATGAGTATTTAACACCGACTGTTAATGAACTTTTAGATTTATTTAAAAAAACGTTAGCATTAATGGAAAGAATTTTTCTGTTGTCGTTAGAAGTATAATCGCCGACGCACCGGCACGAAGTTATGTCAAACGAATAATAGGTCACAATGGTTTTTTTGGTTGTGAGAGATGTACAACTAAGGGAATTTATGACCGAACGGTAACTTTTCCCGAGATTAATGCACCCTAAAGGACAAATGAAAGTTTTAGAAGTAGAGAACAACCAGAGCACCACCAAGGTTTCTCTAAATTGTTAGATTTAGGAATTGGAATGATAACACAATTTCCATTAGATTATCTTCATCTGATTTGTCTTGGTATTACAAAAAAAATCATTCACATTTGGTGTAAAGGTCAAATTCCATATAAAGAAAGTAAGCAGCATGTTGATTACTTTTCTGGAAAATTGTCAAGCTATAATAGTTGTTTCCCTGTGGAGTTTAATAGAAAACCCAGAGGAATTGGTGAGTTAGAGTATTGGAAAGGGACCGAATATCGCACCTTTTTACTGTATAGTGGTCCTGTAGCTTTAAAAAATATTTTAAGTGTAGAAAAGTATAACCACTTTATGTTGTTGTCTGTTGGCGTGCGAATGTTGTTAAACAAAAATAACAGTCAGTGGATTCCATTAGCTAGAAAGTGTCTCGAGGAGTTCGTAGCAGGTGTGACAGAGTTTTATTCTAGCCGTGTTATTACATATAATATGCACTCATTGATTTATCTTGCCGACGATGCAGAAAAATTTGGATCAATTGAATCGGTCAGTGCATTCCCTTTCGAAAACTATATGCAAGATTTAAAACATATGTTAAGGGGACAATCTAATTGTTTAGCTCAGGTAATTAGAAGGGTGTTTGAACGTGAATCTGTAACCACTTTGTTTAATCAGGAGAAAGAGAACGACATTACAAAATGTAAATTTTCCAACAAGAAGGGGGATAATTGTGTTCTATTAAAAAATGGTCAAGTATGTTTAGTAAAAAATCACACGGCTGATATTGCAGAGGTCAGAACTTTTTCATTCAAGCAGCCGTTCTTTCATTATCCAATTGAGAGTCAGACTTTGAACATATTCTTGCTCCGTAATTTAGGCTCTACTATTAGATTTGTCAATATCACTGATATTGTCACAAAATGTGTCTTAATTCTGTCTCATGTAGAAAACCAATTTGTTTCATTACCTTTAATAAACTGGTTATAATTTATAAAATAGGTTAATGTGTTTACGATGTTATTTAGTTAATAATTCTAAATTTTTGTAAGTAATAAATAAAAATATAAAATTGTTATATTTATGTTGTTAGTTTAAATTTGTTACCAATATATAACCCAAAAGCAACCACTACCCAGCATTTCAATTATATTCATTTACATTCATATAACATTAGAGCAACATTAGTTATTGGTAACGTCACTATCGCAAATTACACTTATCCAACACAAAAATAACGTTCAAGCAACGTTAGCGATTTACGTTATTCCAATGCAAAAAAAGCGGCCAAAGTTTACAGTTATCCAACAGGGTTGGATTTGCGTTAAAACTACTGAAAATTTCTAGTTGGGATAGGTATTGATATTTAAATTTGCTACCGTTTGGTATTAAAATTGCACCGGACCATACCTTTAATAACGATCTATTACTACTACATGCTATTACTTACCAATAGCACTGTGGTGGAGTCATAAATGAATACCGCTTGGTATTATTTTAATACCGCATTTCTAATACTAACAATGAAGGTCTCCCAACGTATGCTCACAGATTTGGACCAAATTAGCGTCCATCGATCACGAATATAATTAGTATGAAGTTTGAAAATGGCACTATCTGCCAATGCTCAAGTTTAGCGGAGATATTTGCATTAAAAGATGAGAAAACGTATACCTCCAAGCAGGGTTGCAGAAATCTCATCTCACCTTCACAAATCTCATCTCACTGAGATATAATGAGAAATAGTGAGACATGAGAAATACGAGATATAGTGAGATTTATGAGCCATGCACTAGCGCCACCTAGCGGACGGAGTCATGAACTACAAGTTTATCTCATTATTTCTCATATTTCTCACTCAGCCCCAAGTGAGAAGATTGATATATATCATTAAATCTCACTAAATCTCACTCAGTGATATATATCACTTGTAACCCTGCCTCCAAGGCTGGCAAATTTTTTATTTTCCAAATTTGCTGCCCATTTTTTTCTGCTTTGGATGCAAATATT